TTTAAGGATTTGGGAAGTGAAAAAGTTATTAGGCTTTAGGAATGGGAGTATGGGACCCTTGAATTATTTTGGGTTTAACACCATATTTTAGCACGTTTTATTTTTTAAAAAAACTAAAAAAACGTGGAAATCGGAACTAGAACTAAAAAAAAAGAAACTAAAAAAGTAAAAAATAAAATGCTAACCCAGGGACTCGAATCCTGGACGTCACACTTAATTTCGAAGGGAGCTACCGCTGGGCTATCTCTTTCACTTTGTCATTGAGGGGGTTCAAAATATATATATCCACATAAATCCAAAAAATTCACCTTATATATACAGTGTAAGATTTTATCGAATGGACCCCTGGACGACACGTGAATTCACCCTGACTATTTATAAATGTAAAAAACCCTAAACAAAATAAACAGAATTGGCTCACTGGTTGACGATTCAGCTCTCGGAAATGTCAGTATTTTGGCATCTCTTGTTGCTTCGGATGAGAAGGAAACTTCTCACAGATATTGACTGTATCCGACTTGAGTCCAAAAAAATTAGGAATCCGAAACCAAATGAAATTCAACTTCCGAACAGTGGTTCGCCGCCTCAAACTCTTTGTTCCCTTCAAAATATGCCACGTGGCAGCAGGCTTGCAATTCAATTTGAATTCTGCCAATCTTTTCAATATATATAAATATTAATATAATACTCAATTTAATCTATTAAGCTATCTGCTTGATTTCCTTCTTCAACCTTCCATATTTAATTTGTTTTAGCTCCAAACTTTAAGAAATATATTTTTGGCCTCACATCATCAAGCATCTTTTTTTTTTCCGTGTATTAAAGGTGAAGGATTAGGGATGAAGAGTAGTAGATCGATAGCCAAGTATTATCGCACCTTTTGTGGGAGAAGGAGGGGGCTAACCTCCTTCTCTCCACTTCCAGTTAAGCAGTATTATGAAGTAGTCGTGTGTTGTCTTATTTTTAATGTATATTACTATTTTTTGCTTGCTTGTTTCATCTCTTGCTCTTTTGCTAACATATTTTTTCAGAAACGTTATTTTTTAGCCAAGGATTTATAGGAAACCACATCTAAACCCCCACAAAGTTAGGGATAAGGTCTGCATACATCTTCTCCCCCATATATCACTTGTGGAATTAAAAATGGATAAGTTTTTATATTTATCATATTTCTTCATGAGTAGACTGCGGTCATTTTAAGTAGAAAAATGCAGCAATATGCATTTTTGAACTAGTTGTCATTATCCTCTTCTTACTTAACAAAAAATTGTACCTTGAAGGTTGTTTCTTTGTGTTCAAACATTGTATCATGAGTTTAATTTCTTCTTTTTGTCAATCTATACTGATAATAAATTTAGGCAGCTAATTAATGCATGTGCACCAAATGAAAAACTGCAAATCTTGGCATTTCATAAAATTGAATATCTTTACATATTTTGGAGTTATTTTTTTCAAATTTGGGGCCATAGGGAAAGGGAAAATGAGGAGTAGATTACAATGTGGGAAATGGAATCCTGCCCAACAAGATGAGAGTTCAGGTAGTCAATCAAATAAGCAACTAAGATTTCCCACTTTTTTAGAGTGTTATTTGGATGTGTTACAATAAATTTTGTTAGCAGGTTGTGCCATTTAAGCATTAAGGTCTGCCTGATTTTTTTTGGTTATTCTGAGATCCTCAGAAGATCTAAATGACATGCATCCATTTTGGCTCTTTGACAAAGAGGCCTTGACTTGCAATAAAATGAAAAATATTTTTAAGCAAAACAATATTGGGCCATATCCAGTAAATGCTCTTTTGATTTTCAATAGTAAATGTGGTATTTGATCTACGATGATTGCAGGACATTCGAGGATGCAGAGTATGTATCATTTGGATGTTCTGAATGAAAATTTTATTTTTAATTCTTTCATGTGTCAATAATTTCTCAGTACGAGTTGTGTTACAAGTTGGTATCATAATATGTTGTTTTCACTATCGACTTTGAAACTTTGTAGTTTACTATTGCAGGTTAGTACTCCCTGTAGAAGTAGTAGTAGTTCTTTTCATCTTCAGAGGTTTCCATCATGTATTTGACATTTCAAGCAAAGGATAGTTCTAAATGGACTTGCTTTAAAAGATATAATAATTAGTTTCTTTTCCTCATGTTTGTGTAATAGTAAATAAAGTGAAAGTATAAATGATATTTAAACATATTGTCGTTCACACCTCTTAAATAGAAGACTCTTTCGAAAAATATAAATAATGTTGGGCCCATGCTCAACACAGGTCATGCCCATCTAGTGCTAATAGATATGTTAGCCAACGTTGGTCCTACAATATAGGAAAAACGGAACAGTAAATATAGTCAAGTTCTCATCCTCAAGACTACAGTTTTATTGAGTCTCTTTGAACAACCTGAAGTAACATTTTCTCACTGCTATAGCGAATATACTATATTAAAAATAATTTTTTAGTGGTAATTAATTAATGATAATTATTTAGTCTTTGCTAAATATGTTTTTAAAGGCAATTAACATTATTTGTAAATGTCTCTAAAGTCTATAGCGACATTGAATTTAATGGCAATCAACTAATACCAATAAAGGTTTTAGTGTTTTTTATTAATATGCATATTTATTGTTGCTAAAACTGTTTTGTTATAGTGATTGATGAGCTAATGAGGTTGTAGATTTTTTTTGTAAAGTTAGCTACTACCCTAAATAAAAATATTCTAATGCACAACTTAAATCAGATATCAATAGAGGACAAAGAGTCTTCATATTTTTTTTTGATAAGAGGCAGCTTCCAAGTGTGCGGATAAGATATAATGAAAAGACCTTTTTTTGGTTAACTAAATGTATATATAGTACTTAGTATATCTAGGAAATATGCAACAATTACTATTAATTTTATTTTTATTTTTACCTTAATTGCTTGCAATATGCTTTACAATAGATCTGATAGCATAATTACAAATCAAAATTAAAAAGTTGGTGAGAAAATATGATATATTTAAAATTATTTATAAAACATATATATATAATTTATCAGTTCGATTCATATTTTTATTAACATCAAAATCAAAATAAATATTTTTATTTTTAGAAAAATTAAAATCAAATTAAACCCAAAAAATTATCCATTTATTTAATGAATTTAGTTCGAATTTCAATTTGAACTCAAACTATGAACACCTCTAGCTATAGATATGCTTAAAAACAAGCAAACCAACACCCTAACCCTCAAAACTATTGTAGAGGACACTATTGAGTCTAGTTTATCAAAGTGGAAGTAACATTTCCATAATGCTATAAGCAGAGGCATATCTAGTAAAGAGGATAGAGGTGTCGTGCTTCCTGCTCACTTCGATTGAAACTCTCTAGGTATAATATATGTATATATAGAAAATAATGTAAATATATAAAGTTTCACCCAAATATTTTACCCACCGGGCATGATATCATATCTGACAGACTTCAAATTTTAGAATTTACTCTATTTTCCACATGATACATGATATTCGCTCCCCTCTTTTCTTTTCCTTCTTTTTCTTTATTCTCCTTTTCCTTATGAGTTACTCTTTTTGTTCAAATTTATTTATATGACACTTTTTTATTTTTAATTGACTAAATTTTTATATATATATAAAATACAATTTCTCATTTTATGTTAGATAAAATAATGTTTAGCTACAATTTTTAATAATTTATTTTAGATCTTAATTTTTTTTAAAAATAATTTCTTTCTTAAATCAACCCAAAATGAAATAAATAGTAATGTGAATTCTTAAATTTTATTAAATCTTGCATGTTGCATCACTTTGTTTATATAACCAAAAAGATGATCATACTCTGAGAAAATTGTACTTTTGTCCTTAAAACAGTCTGGATAGAAAAAATTTAATAACGAGTTATATTTTTTTAAAGTTTTAATTGAAAGTTTTAATTTGATGTTTGAGTTATATTTAATTACTTTTTCTAGTTATTTGAATGAACTCAACAAAATATAAAGTAATAAGTAGAGCTGTCAAAAAGGGTCGGCCCAGCCCCACTCGGCCTAAGCCTCGCGGGCCAAGGAATTTGAAGGGCTGGGGAGGGCTGACCCTTCATTTGGTAGTGCCTGAAAATGCTCAACGCAACCCGACCCTAGAAGGGCTGAGGGTTGGGGCGGGCTAGCCCTTCTTTTTATTTTCTTTTCAAACTTATAATTCTATAACATCAAGAAAATGAGAAGATTTTCAAATCAAATATGACAAATAATGGTGTTGTTTCAATAACACTAGCAAAAATCTAGTGTAATTTGCATGTATTTCGCATACCAGATACACGAGTGAGATAAGAGAGTGATAAGCAAGATGGGATGGAGGCGAGGGTACGAGATTTGTATATGTATCTTAGATACATGCGAATCTACTTGGATAAAGTGTATCTAGAACAAATTAACTTAATTTTGATTCTATATATTCCGAGATACATGTATCTGTGTACGAAGATTCATAATATTACAACATAGCGTGTATTCAAATAATTACATTATATACTAGTGAAATTATTGTAAATTACTCTTAAATAAAAAAATTTGGCCCATGAGCCGACCTCGGCCCAATCCTGATCAAGCTTTAAGGGTCAATGACTTATATGGACTGGGCCTATAAGCCCTAATTTTAAATGGGTTTGAAAATTTTTATCCCAATCCTACCCCAATAACGGGTAAGTTTGGACCGTCCCCATGGGAGCCCATTTTCACGGCTCTAATAATAAGGCCGACTGAAACACGTGGGTGCATGGTCCATGCATCACTGTTTTTTTTTTGACAAAAAAAAAAAGGCTGGAGAAAGTTGGCGTATGCCGATTTTTGTCATCTTTACAAGTGTGCGTTTCGTGTTCTATTTTATCAACTAATATACTCAATAAATATAATTTTCCCAATTTATAAAAAACGTGGCCTTTACTTTCAACCTGCAGGCCAGGCCCACTTCCCAAGAAAACAATGTTATATATATTCATTCAAAACAAACTCCCCTTTCATCTTTCATTAATTCTCTTATATTGTTCTTGTATACAAAAGATATATTGAAAAAAACTCCATTCAATTTCAATCCCAGATTTTTTAATTGAAGAAAATGAGAAGAAAGTCTAATTTGGAACTCACTCTTTCTCCTAGCAACTTCTTAATGTAAGTCTCTCTCATGTTTAATTACTCTCACAATTAATCTGTATTGATTAGTGATTAGTCCTTCTAATAATAAGGTATTGATTATATATTTGTTTTTTATTTACTATTTACTATTAGGGAGGATCAACAATTAGAGAATGAGCAATCACAACAGCTAACAATATTTTACAATGGACAATTTGTTGTTTCTCATGTTACTCAGCTTCAGGTATATGTATTTCCAGTTTTTATTTTCTGATAACAATTAATAAATGACTTGTTTTGTTAATATATAATTGATTTCTAAATGCAGGCTAAAGCTATAATATATCGTGCAAGTAGAGAAATGGAGGAGAAGTCAAATAAGATGTCCGAGCCTTCATCACCATTATTACAACCTCAAACTGGTCGTTTCATGGATAAATCTCTACAAAGATTTCTACAAAAGAGAAAAAATAGAATTCAAACAACTTCACCATACCATCACTAGTTGCTCCTACTGATGATATTGGCTCCGATCCATTGTTTGTACATATGTTTTGTATTTATTGATCTCTAGTTTCTTATGATCTGAACTATCACTTCAATATCTCTTATCTTGTATTTTGTTTGACATGAAAAAATAAGTCAAATGATGGCGCTAGGTAGCAACACTATGACTTGAACAAGTTAGTCTTAACAAGAACCTGAAGGTTAAATCAAATGGATGCTAAAATTCAAATTACAATTTTAAATCAGTGAGAGCAGTTGATATTAATTTTCGTAATGTATTTTACAGAGAGTGTAAGATCATCATTTTGTACATTGAATTCTAGCGGTATATTAACTAAATTGATAATCATAACTCTTATCCTACTATTATGTGACTCATATAGAAATTAATATATATCCAGATGTATATATCCACTACTGTGGTTTGAGTCTATACGTTGAATTTATTCACTAGAAGCTGGAAAAAAAAAACTAGCGTGGCAGTCAAATCAGAAGCAAATAAAAAGTTGATTAAATTTTTTTATTGTCGTAGAAAAAGAAAATGCAGCCATACAGACTGCCAAAATTGTAAAGACTTGCTGGCTTATTTTTTCCATCCTCTAGGAAGCATGAACAACAAGTACTTTTCTTTTTTGACTATATGTCAAAATCCGAAATCGAATAATGATGATGCATGCTTGTCGCCTCAAGCCTAAATCCAAACATGAGATGTGGAAGATAACAGTTTAAATAGACATAATTAATAAGAACAAGTGGAAATAGAGACTGAATAAAAGAAATGAGTGGCACCAACTTAACAGTAAAGTACCAATAACTCGGATATATGTCGACGGTCCACTCAAAATGATATCTTAAACTTATCAAAAAAGTAATAATAACCCATATATATATAATGAACTAAGTCGACGGACCGTACGGAATGATACATCAGACTAAAGTAGCCAAAAATATGGCAGTCAAATGTAAATAAGTAATTTTACCATTTTAAAGTCATAACAGGTCCCAAGGCCCAAGGTCTACCAAATATCATTTAAATAAACTATCAATTTTTACCAATATCAAGTCTTTTTGAACAATGAGTACTCAAGCGCAGCAACCACATTCAAAGCCATCAAAAATTCCAAAGCTTACACCAAATCACAACACACCAAGCACATACTCGATCAGATAATTTCCGTCACAGTCCAAACGTACTAACCTAGATTCCAGCTAACAGCCTCGGGCCCAACAATCAATATAACGAGTATAAAAGCCCAAAAGCACTATAACCAACCAATAATTCAATCCAATCAAACACACGGTAACCTAAGTTTCATGACATCTTAAGTCATTTCTAAGGATACTATTCGATACAAAACACAAGGATCAACCTAAGCTAAGGTTTTCCGGTTAAACTACACTAAACAACCCAATAGATGGCCATAATTGACTAAGGATCAAATAAGCCTAAGTAATCCCAAAATCCAACCTAATCATACATTACTACTCAAAATACAATTAATCTAATTAAGCCAAGTCTAAGAAAAGGAAGTCGTAACCTACCTCAAGGCCAAGAATCACACAAGAACAACGTCTACTCAGGCATATTTCCCTTTTGAAGAGCCTCAAAATGATGTCAAGCTATCAAGAACAAAACAAGCAAATCAATACGGGACTAACGATACACATATCAATAATACAAAAAATGTACCAAAAAATGTATCAAAATTGACCCTCAAATGACGTTATAGAATTAGGAAACTAAAAATCATTATTACGTTCTCCTCGGAGTGAGGATCACATGCCCAAAAGATAGGTAAAAATGGAGTTCAAATCGGACCACAAAAGTTGTCACGACAGGGACCTGGTCCCTGGCAGAGTGCTCTCGTCCAGATTCAAATGGGGTACAGCTGTAAAGCTGTCACAACAGGTGCTAGGTGAAAAATGCAGTGTCCTACACCAATAGGAAAAGCGGACGAGATTGTATGCTTCAATGTCTCACAAATGCAAGGACCTGGTCCCAGGTAGAGCTCTCTTGTCCAGATCTATAATGGGGTACATCTGTAAAGCTGTCATGTCAGAGGTTGGTGAGGCGTCAGCGTACTACACCAATCAGAATGGACGAGGGTGTTTGTCCAATGGGTAATAACTCTTTATGGTTGATATTTTCTACATGACAAACACCATACTAAATTCATTCATCCTAAGAAGGAAGTCAGCCAGCAAGCCTTTTCAAGAACCCACAAAGAAGTTTGCAAGGGACCTGGTCCCTGCAAGACTGCGATATGAAAAGGTGACAAGACAGCCGTCAGAAAAGTTTCCACCTCTGATGTGGTAGGTGAGCAACTCTTCTGAACAGCAGGCTTTCAGCCAATAGGGTTATCTCAACGAGGTTGTGTTGATTTTATATAGTCTCTTCCTAAAATACACAAACTCAAGATTTGGCAAACAAAAAACTTGGATTTTCTTTGAAAATTCATAAGCTTGAAAAGAGAAGGCCAACTTCAAAGAAGAACACTGCTCATATCAACAAGGGACCAGATGGAGTGCTAAAGCATGTTGTTGTATTTAGAGCTTTGTGTCTTATGTGCTTACTTTGTAAATCTGTTCCTATTCTATAAAGGATTCAGATATTTTGTTTCGTTTTCTAAAATGTCTAAGTCGGTTAGAGTTAACTGATTTAGTGGGCAGTGTTGTATCTGCTTAGTCAAATTCTAAATCATCTAGAGTTAGGTGGTTTAGTAGGCGGTGTGGTATCCACTTAGAAAAGTCTATATTAATTAGTGAGGGTTAGTATAGTGGGCAGTGTTGTATCTGCTCTGGCTCAGCTAAGTGATAGGAGGTATTCCTTAGTGTGAAGATTAGCAGGCTAATCTCATTCTGTAAACTGGCTTTTACTTTTGCTTGGAGAAGATTAGTAGAAGCAGTTTGAAAAGTCCTGTTGAGACAGGTCGTGTTTTTACTCCCTTGAGCAAAGAGGTTTCCACGTAAAGTTGCTTGTTCAATCTTTACTTTCAGCACTTATTTTACTGTTTGTTATTGTAATTGTGCTGAGGACCTGGTCCCATCGAAACAAGTGGATGCATATTTTAAGTTACTGTTCTTGCTGAGTCAAAGGACCTGGTCCTTGACTGATAAGTGGACGCATACATTCCAACAAGTGGTATCAGAGTAGGTGCTCTCTAGCTGTTTAACACCAAGAGAGATTCTTGTGGAAGAATGGGTGCTTTACTGAGATGGCAAGAAGGTTGGTCTTCAACAAGGCCCGATCTAGTTGGTTAACACCAAGAGAGATTCCTATGGAAAGAATGGTTGCTTTACTGAGATGGCAAAAAGGTCGGTCCTCAACAAGGCCACCCTTGTTTGATGGTCAGTATTATCGGTGGTGGAAACATTGCATGTTTGACTTCATAATGGCTGAAGACTGTGAGCTGTGGGATGTTATTTGTGAGGGTCGCTATGTGCCATCCATAGAAGTAAAATATGGGGATGTCACAAGGGTCGTTGTCAAAACTTGACAGGAATACAATGAATTTGACAAACGAAAAGTTGAGAAAAATCACAAGGCTAAGAAGTTCTTAATGTGTGGAATCGGACCTAATGTATATAATCTGATTTCTTCATGCGAATCAGCTAAAGAAATTTTGGATCTATTGAGAACTACATATGAGGAAGCTGAGGAAACAAGGGCAGATCTGACTGGGGATGATGATCAAAAGGGAGATGCAGAAAGGGATGAATCACTAACCTTCAAGGTGTCACAATGTGAGAACCTTGAAGTAGATGAGACCATGGACTATCTCACTCAAAAATTTCAAAAACTTGTGAGTAAATAATGCTTATCGTGACCAATGACACTAACCTACGGTATGAGTGTCTATGATCGTCGATAGTATAGTAACCCAACTAAAGGTTGGGGTCGTGTCCCAAGGGAGTGATTTTGAGAATTGATAGAAAAATAAAATAAAGCTCTAACTAGTCGTAGCTAAAGACATTAACGATTAAAAACATAGTAAATTAAAGGGGGTGACACAAAAGTGTCAAATATCAATTGGGGGTTTTGTCACAAGTAGTAAAAATAGCAAAAATTAACAATAAAATCAAGTATGGGGAAATGTTTTTGGGGTGTGACCGCAATACAAGTTGAGATAAATCGTTGGGTACATGCTTTCAATAGAAAATTTGCAACATAATAGTGACTAGGCTAAGCTTCAGATGGAAATAAGTTCCCTCTTGGGCAACTTACCCCGTTTCAAATGGGTTCCTCTCGGACACCCATTTGCCGCATGAAGACCAGCCTACGCCTTACCCCACTC